AATACAACTTTGCAATACACTTAATCTCCACAGTCACTTTAACTTAAACACACGCTATAATTTACAATGATTCACGCACTTTACTTATGGTCACTACCGCGCTTGACTCAATTGTCCATCTCTGTCTGTCTGCAATTCCATTCTTGCCGGCACTTTATTTGCCAGCTTATATACTCTAAAAGCGTACTTCCAGATTACACTCGTCTCTTCGTGAATCTTCTAGATACTCATCACGGGTTACTAGCATCACATGACTTCCGCTGTCGTAGTAATATGTTATTCATGTTAAGCTGTTACAATACTGTACAAACATAAAGAAGTTTAATATATGATATTTATGTCAAACTGTTACAATACTGTACAAACATAAAGAAGTTTAATATATGATATTTATGTCAAACTGTTACAATACTGTAGAAACATAAAGACGTTTAATATATGTCATGGTAAACTGTTACAATAATGTAGGCATAACATGCAATATCTTCCTTCTTTTATTAATATGGAAATTTTCAACATTTATTATTTAATCTGAGCCTGTGCAGATTTTGCATAAACACTTGGTCCAGGAAAACATTGAATTGTTTTCTTTCTGGTTTTTATGTTGTTCTGTCTTAGATAATGTTTCTTCTGCCTGCAGAGATATTGCTGCAACTTTATGTATTATGCAAGCAAATCAACAAGTGCAATGTTGTTCACTGGCTGAGTAGGTGATATCTAGATGTTATGGGTTTAACTATGTTGTATGTGTAGTTCTAGTTGTTATAGATAAATCTAACATTTCCTATTTAGTAAGGAGAATTAGATTCACACAAGTTTACTTGGTTTCTATTGTGAGTAATTTGATAAGAAAATATCTTTACAGATAAAAGCTGCTAAACTGATTCATTAATTCAACAGGTGACAGGTCTGGGTTTTGCTTTAGACATAAATAAAAGTAGTTCTTCACTTTAAACAATGTGTGAAATCTATTTATCTTCTTAACTTAAAACTCAGTCAGTTCAGATTTATTCTGTAATTTTCCTGATAGAATCTTGTGAAAATACCACAGAGTAGGTAGGAAGGAGAAATTTTAGTGCTATGACCACAAGATTTATTGTTGAGTTTCTGTTTTTAACTGCTCGTACTTGAATTAAATGAATTTAAAGCAACACTTCTAACTGAAATATGGCCAAGAAAGAGAGTTTGTTGCTGGAGAAACACAGTTGTAGCAGAGAAGTGTTGAGAGCAGAAGAAGTCTTCTCCTAGACATAAGACTTTTTACAATGCTGTGAAGATCTTTTACATTGACGAGACTGTGACTACTGATTCAGGAAGATGGGATACCATCTGGTGCATCCAGAATGGTAGATCATATGTTGCCTCTAAGGGGTAGTGAGCCTCTCCGAGACAGGAGGTATCTTGCAACAATGACCTATGTCACACAGGGCTATACAACAGGTTGCTGCCCTGAACCAAGTAGCAGAATACTTGCGAATGTCTACTACCCTGCACCTGCAACATCAGCTGCACCTCAGCCAGGCAGTGGCCAAGAACCTACAAGTCAAAGGCTATGGTCAAAATGAAAGATTCCTTTGAGTGAGACAAAGCAGATTTTATCCTGAAGTTCAAAGTTGTGGCAAAAGTAGACATGGACCATTTCTTAAAGCATTTCCTGAAGGTAGCTGAGAATAACATATGACCATTATGTTAAATTCTTACAATAATGTAAAATCATAGTTTAATATATGATATTAATGTCAAACTGTTACAATAATGTAGAAACATAAAGAAGTTTAATATATGATATTCATGTTAAACTCTTACAATACTATGGAAACATATAATTAAATTTAATATATGATATTCATGATTAGATCCTCACTCACATGTTTAAACATGAAGAAGTTTAATATTTTACTTCATGAATTATAGCTTTCAATAATGTTGAAACATACAGAAAACTCTTACTACAATAATGTAAAAATGTAAAGGTGAATGTTTGACCTTTACATTGAATTCTGAATTACCAAAATGTTGAAAGGTGAAGAAATTTAATACATGGGTTTCATGTTAAACTCTTACAATACTGTAGAAGCATAAAAAATTAATATATGACTTTTATGTTAAATGTTTTGTCATACAAATGTTGAAATATGAATAGAATTTGATTAGATCAAAATTTATTTTACAGCTAATTGTTTGTAAACCTGATCATAGAGTGATAAATTTTGGATCAGTCTTGAAAGGTCAGAAGTCATCAAAGTTTGTGGATATTGTTAACCAAAGCTCTGCTCTACTTAATGTAACTTTCAAACTTCGCAGTACAGATGAGCAATATTCTACTGTTCCTGAGTCGTTAACTCTGTCACCATCAAACCAGGTCTGTCTCAGGCCTGTCACTGGAGTTGTACACTTAGAGATTACCTTCATGCCTACATTCAGAGTTCCTACTTTCTGTGTTGCGGTAAGTACACAGCTTTATGTTATCACTTAACTTTCTTTATAATGTTGACTGCAGCTGTACATATAGAGACTACCTTCATGTCTACATTCAGAGTTCCTACTTTCTGTGTAGTAGTAAGTACACAGCTTTATGTTATCACTTAACTTTCTTTATAATGTTGACTGCAGCTGTACATGTAGAGATTACCTTCATGTCTACATTCAGAGTTCCTACTTTCTGTGTTGTAGTAAGTACACAGCTTAATTTTATCTCTTAACTCTCTTTGTAATGTTGACTGTAGCTGTACATGTAGAGATTACCTTCATGCCTACATTCAGAGTTCCTACTTTCTGTGTTATGGTGAGTACACAGCTTAATGTTGTCAGTTAACTTCCTCTGTTTGTAAGTATATGTAAACACTTTTATTTATGAGTTAACTTTCTCTTTTTGTAACAGTTAAGTAAAGAACTTATCCTTTCTGTGATAAGGAATCTTCCATTATATAAACACATGAATATCAAGTCCAATTCATTGTTTGTTAACAGAATGTTGGTAATGTCAGTTTCTGGTTTAGATAAACTAAGTACAACTGAATTTATTCTTCTTTTCCTGAAGAATCTCTCAGTATTACGTGTATATTAAGTCCAGTTCACTGTTTGTTGAAATACTGTTTATAATGCCAATTTCTGGAGTACAAACTATTTCATATTTATATGATTTTTTTTTTTATATCAGTAATACTTCTTTCGTTGATAAATTGTATAGAAATCACTGAATATTCTGTCCCTTTACAGGTAATTATTAGTGTTACACAGTGAGGATTAGTAAACAGCAGAATCATATCACGTAATATCCTTATTTTACAGATTGTAATAAAAACTTTGGGTAGCATTAATATTTGGATTTTTTCTTTTTCTATAAAGGAATCTAAACAATTTATTATTAGTACAGTTCTCCCATCTTGTTGAAGTATGCAGTAATAAGCAGTGTGTAGCCTGAGTTAGTTTAATCTTCTCTGTAGCTAGTAGCTGAGGTATTAGGGATAACCAGAGTTCTTAGTGCTATTAGTGGATGCTGTAAAATAGTCCAGCTTCAGCTGCTACCAAATGTTGTCCAGTTTGGAGCTGTAGTACAAGGATGTCAACTTTCTTACACATTGTTGTTTCATAACATTGGAGATCTTACATCAAGGTAAACTTATTGTTACAGGAGATTTTACACCAAGATAAACTTAATATTACAGGAGATTCTACATCAAGGTAAAGTTATTGTTACAGCTTTTTACTTCTTAACATTAGAGATCTTACACCAAGATAAACTTAATATTACACCAAGGTAACTTATTATCACACCTTATTACTTCATAACACTGGAGATCTTAAACCAAGTAAGCTGAATATTAACATAACATAATGTTTTGGGACAAAATGGGACATCTCGTTGTTCCGTCCGCTAAATTAAATTGAAATAATTTTAAAAAATCTTAAAGCCAGCCCTTATCATTCATATACTTATCAAGCTTTTTTTAAACTCACTTAAATTTAGTGCATCTACAAAATCTGAAGGCAACCATTCCAAAGGCCAAACACCCTGTTAGAAAAATGAAACTGTCTTAGCTGAAGATGACTCCTACCTTGCCAAAATATTCCTACTATTTTCACTCTTATTTATGAAAAAAGATGATGCATCAATACTATCAATTCCCTTTACAATCTTAAACACCTCAATCAGATCCCCCTAACTCTTTTTT